TTTTTTTTCCTTTTTGCTTTTTGCCAATTGTGTATTATTTTAAATTCTTGAGACTATTTAAAATTTCTTAAATTCAAAGGTAAAACTCACCAGGTGTCAAATTGAGCTTGCCATTTTGAAGGTCTCTAATATCCATAAAGTGATTAAATTGAACATTTTCAAAAGTGATTAGAAAGTGAGTTTGACTGGCTTTATGTCCTTATGAAAGGCTCTGCTACTGCTGAGAGCAAAGATGTCATCTCCCTCAGCTCCTGGTGCTCAAACCTACGGTCTCCTCACAGGGGGCTGCCATTCAGAGCACTCATGGGAAATCTCTCGATCTCTCTTTCTCTGGAGAAATTCAATCAGTCTACTTGCTGGTCTTTCATTCTGCACAGTGGTCATCGTCTCTGCTCATTCACAGAGATGTCTTCAGTGAGCCATGACTCACACTGGAAGCCTCTAGCTTGTTTGTTAAGTAAAAAGGTAGCCCAATTGCTACGAACTGAATAACTGATCATATTTCCATGGAGATGATCAGAAATTGCTTCTTTCTTCCAATAAAAATATTTTTCAGAAAAGAATCCACTGAAACATCTTCTTCAAAAGAGAAGTTGTTTTTGTTTTGAGGGAAGTACACAAATGTAACTTTTAATATCTTAATGAACAGCAGATGCCATTAGTAGAATATAGCTCAAATATTATTTATAGAAAATATTTTTAACTCGGGCTTCCGGAGGAAGAAATGGTGGACTGAAGACAGCTCTGCAAAAAGCTAAGCCAATGACTGTCACGGAATGAAGAGCCACCAAGTAGACTGTTTTTTGATCATTCCTTTCCAGGCAAGGTGAGGACTTGAGATCCCCCACAAATGCTCCAGGCAGCTGCTTCTCGTGAAGAGACTGCAAGATAGTGATCTCCAGCAGGTTGAGATCTCTGGGGCATGAGAGAATAGCCATCTTGTTCAAACTGTGATTGACTCCTTTGAAAGGACACTTAAGTTTGCATACCTCCTTTTCTAATCTCATTTGGAAATTGTTTGTTAACTGCTTTTCAGCTCTTAGAAACATTTGGATCGACAAGTTTGATAGTACTGGGTGAGTTTCCTTCAATCCTTAGCGAAAGAAAGTTTTAACTACATGTTTAAGAACTTAACATTTTGGGGGGAATAAACAGCAAAAGGGCGATTAAAACTTTTATTTTGGAAAGTTACAAACAGACTAAGGGCCCAGATAAATTTGAAATAAGATTTTGGAATTAATTATAAAGAATCCTTGCCATGGGAAAATGCTTTTGTTTTGAATTTTTTGAAAAAACATAGTAAGATAAAATTTAAAAAATTGGACACTAGAGGGAACTAAAGATTACAGTTAAAGGAGAAGAACACATAAACTTACAATTTACAGAATGAAGCAAAATATTCTAACATTGGACATATTGAAGGATATTTTTGAACAATGG